TTTCTTTCTTTCTTTCTTTCTTTCTTTCTTTCTTTCTTTCTTTCTTTTTCTTTTCCTGTGCTGGAGTTAGGGTGATGCTGTTTCCCAGTATGTTAATGAAACGTCTGCACGAAAACAGCCAGGATCACCAACATTGATGTTGAATATCTGCCATTAAAATTAACAGAGATACGAAGATGCCAGCATACAGCAGGGGCAAGACAGACTCTTCCCTTAACCCACCAACCCCTCACAGCATGACCCCCCCCCCATGGAGGCCACCCCAGGCCAGTGGGCAGAACCACCTTGGCGGAGCCCCCCAGGAGGCCAAGAGGCAGGGGGCAGATCTCCCCCACTCCCCCCGTGGGGCACAATGGTGCCCTTGTGAGCCTCCCTGCTGGCTGGGGGGCCTCGTGTGGGGGGTGTCCGTGGCCGCCTTAAGGGTGTTAGGGAGTGAGCTGAGGCTCCGGGCAAACTTTTGCCCCCCCCCCCCTTCTTCCCTTGACTCCGAATGGCCCGCCAGGTCGGGTGTGAATTGAACGGAGCCCGTTATTTTGGCCGGGTGTGGCCAGGCACCCAAGGAATTTGTCTCTGGGGCAGCAGCTCTGGCGGCACCTGCAGAGCAAGAGGAGGAAAGAATCCGCCTCCTCTCAGTCGGAGGACAGATTAAAGAGAAGGGAAGAGACAGGATCGATGATAATGTTAGAGCCACGCTTGCATGGCCGGTAGATGCAACGCGGTGAGGATCGGGGGGCTCAGCAGGAGGGGAAGGAACTCCGTGTGTGTGTGTGTCTCTCTCTCTCTCTCTCTGCTTCTCCCGCCCCTCTTGCAGTCTACAACTGGACGGTGGAGGAGGTCGTGCAGTGGCTGATCACCTACGTGGAGCTCCCCCAGTACGAAGAGACCTTCCGGAAGCTTCAGCTCACGGGCCACGCCATGCCCAGGTCAGCCTGCCCCCCCACCCAGCCCCCCGTGGCCCCGGAATCAGCGGGGGAGGGGTTCAGGGGTTGTGGCTTTGGGGGAGGGGGGGTTTGGGGAGGGGGGGGCTGCTACTTCTCAAAACAACCGTGGTTTTTTTTCCCCCTCTCTTTTCGAACCAGTGCTAGTTTCATGTCATTTATTTATTTTTATTCCAGCTTTATTTAATTTTTTTTTAGCGTAGTTTACTTTATTGTCCTTGCACCTCGTGCAACGAAACTAAATGCCATTGTCAGTGTACATTATGACCATGAAAATAAAACACAGATGCACGTCCTCCGCATCCGATACGATGGAATGAAAAACCCCTGATAATTGCGTGAACATTGCAGTTTATGGTGGAATCCAGCGGGGTTCCTGCCCTGGGAAAGCAGCTGTTTTTCAGCCTGTTTGTCCTTCTTTACAAATGGCTCAAGGCAACCAACACATCCGACGGACCTTCTTCCTCCTACTTTCCCACAACAGCAACCCTGTGAGGTGGGCTGGACTGGGAGGGGGGGCTGGCCCAAAATCCCCCCCCCCGGTCTCCTGGCGATTGGCCCAAAGTCACCCAGCCAGCTTTCCTGCCTAAGGCGGGACTAGAACTCCCCGTCTCCTGGTTTCTAGGCCAGCACCTTCAACCGTTAGGCTTTTCTTTCGGCTGTTTTTTGTGCATGGTTTCCCATGTGCAGAGCTTGAACCTTTGGCCTTTCCCGTGGCCGGCCCAGGAGGTTCCCTTTTGCAGAGAAATCTGTGGTTCATTTTCCAGATCAGGGCTGTTCCTTTAGTCCACAGGTCTCCAACCTGGGCCATTTTGAGACCTGTGGACTTCAACTCCCAGAATTCCTCAGCCAGCCAGGAATGATAGAGTTGGGAGAGACCAGAAGGGCCATCTAAGTCAGGGGTCTCCAACCTGGGCCACTTTGAGACTTGTGGACTTCAACTCCCAGAATTCCCCAGCCAGCCAGGAATGATAGAGTTGGAAGAGACCAGAGGGGTCATCTAAGTCAGGGGTCTCCAACCTGGGCCACTTTGAGACTTGTGGACTTCAACTCCCAGAATTCCCCAGCCAGCCAGGAATGATAGAGTTGGGAGAGACCAGAAGGGCCATCTAAGTCAGG